AGTGCATATATGCACTGGCCAGCTGTTATAAGTTTATGCTTTATGAGTTTTTATTAAGCCTACACACTGAAACTGATGTATGTTCACTGTCATCCTCCTGCAGGGAAGTGCAAGATTCCTATAGAGACATTCCATTCTCATTCATTTCTTTTAAAGCCTCTTTTTTTTAAAGGTTGCTACACTTTCAAGCAAAGTCATCATAATTGACTTGTTTATTGTTCATTTTAACTATATATTCCTCTCAGGAATCATTCTCATATTAAAATGTTGTCATAAATTTTAATCATGAAGCTTTTGAATGTTCACAGTCAACAGTGGTAGATGCAGACTAATCAGTAAATTAGATGCAGTTAAGTCAATAGCATAAGTAAAATAAAATTTGTCTAGAAATTCAAAATGCAGTATATGTTCTAAATACTGTAGCTTTTGTTCTTCTAAGAGTCTAAGTCAAGATACATTGGGGTAGAATGCTCATCTCATCCTTCTCTACAAATTATCAAGATTAATCATTAATTTGGAAAGGGTAAAAACGCATGAGACATTTTCACATTCAGACATGTATTTTGATAGACAGAAATAGACAAAAAGAAAAGAAATGCTGATACAAGACCATATCCTTTAGCTTCATTATGAAGTTTTTTTCCAGGGACTGGAAATACTGATTTCTGCAAAATTGTCTTACAAAAGTAGACAGGGGAAATCTAAAGGAAGCAAAATTGATAGTATGAATAAAGACAAATATATGTGTCCCAGGATAATGTTTCAGGATCCAATCTGTGTTGCTCACGGGGACCAGAAGTTTTGTCTTCCAGGCTTTTCGACTCGTGCTGAAGCCCATCTTTAGGGAACTTAAGAGAGAAGTTCCCTGAAGATGTGCTCCAGCACAAGTCCAAAAGCTCAGAAGACAAAACCTCTGGTCTCGACCGAGACTAGATCCTGCAAAATTGATAGTTTGAGTTTGAGTTTAATAAAATTTGTATGCCACCCACTCCCATTGGGACTCTGGGCGGCTCACAACAAAATAAAAGCATTTAAAAATTAAAAAATACAATATTTAAAATTAATACATCATTCATTCAGTCAAGTGGGGCTGGATAGTACTTAAGTTTAAACCACCCCTACATTGAAATGATTTATATGCCAGTTCACAAAATCAATAGTGAATACAGGCAAAAAAATGGAATTAAGGGAATACATAGCACATAGTTTAGTGGCTTAGTATATGAAGTATAAGCTGTGAGTGACACAGATCTAAATCTTCCTAAGTAATGAAGAAAAATATTGTTCACTTTCCAGATATTTATGAAACATGTGAGTTTTCTTAAGAACTAAGGAAAAAGTATTTCAAATGCTAATGAGAATTATTGTCTGATGTTCTACTTTATTCAGTGATAGCAAATAATATCATACACTAGTTTTTAGGGGGGGGGGGAATCTGATATTACTGGCTCAACTAAATTGTTACAACACACTAAGTAATCTTTAATTTCTCCAAAAATCTTATCTGGCTCTAATCACAGAGATCACACAGAGATATTTTTCACTATAATACTATCAGCCACACTGTCTGGAACTGCCTGCAATGATAAGTATAGGAGTACAAACCTTCTGGAGAATACCATCTCAGGTGAAATATTACATCCTCAGCATATTACAACTGTACTTCAAGATCTGCTACATTAGTTGTCAATAGGTTCCTAGATGTAGTCCAAACTATTGGCGTTAACCAATCATTTTGTTTGTCTTAGTGTCCCAGTTCCTTCAGGATAATCTCCACATCTGGCTTTTCCTGGGGATCTGTTTATCTGTTTATAGACAATTGTTAAGTCTCGGGTGGTATATGGCAGGTGTTTGTCTGTTTGAATTCTAAAGTGCCAAAGCACTGTAACTTCTTTATTGTCTATTTTGTGGTCCCACCAGATATTTCTTAGAGACAGTCTGATGTACCACTGTTGCTACTTCATCACACTATTATTTGCCCAAGTCTGTGTGATCTTCTTGCTAACTAGGTTTATTCACTGTTTATTCAGCTTCATTATTTATTATGGTTCACCATACAGCCAGCCAGACTGGATTTGCCATTTTAATCCACCTATTGAGTCCCTCCCAAGGACCTGGGATAGGCAGGTGTTGCTTGATGGTCTTTTATATTGTATATATAATACCAATTATGGATATTTTAATTGAGCACCTGTTTTTACTGGAGTGCTATAAACTCTTCTGAGTCTGTATTGGTTTGGTAATATACAAACAGAATAAGTAAATACAATGTTAAGTGAAGTAACTCTTACATTAACTATTTAAACAAGTAGCTGCTGCAGGAAGCAGCCGAAAACTCTGGAGCAAAGATTTTGGTGTAATGAAGTAAACAATTAAGAATAAGCCTAGCTGAACTCAACAGCACTGACTGTTGAATTGATATCCATGTAACACACTACTACTAGATGCAAACTGAATGACTATAAAAGACAGAATGCCAGTAGATTTAGTAAGATGTTCACATGATTTTAAAGAATTGCAAGAGGCAGGAGATATAAATAATAAAAGAAAGTAGTAAACAAGATCATGGGATGAATGCCAAGATAAAATTATGATTTCAGGAAATATTGCTGAAAACATGTGGGAGCAATACATACAGGAAGCAGAGAATAGTTGGCTCCACATATAACACTAGGTCTTTGCCCTTTTAAACCATGGTTTGTTGAAAAACTCATTTTACATATAATGCCAAGCTGTAAACTTTTAGAACTTCAAAAGAACACATTGATATTAACACCAAATACAAACCAATTACATAATTGTATGTAACTTGGCAGGTATGTAAATCTCCCCACTTCCAGTATATAAATCACAACTGAGGCTGGTGTATATTTGGAAATCAATTTATTCAAAAGGAAAGAAAGGTGAACATTAATATCAATGTTAGTACTGCTGCATATGAGAGAAAATGAAAGGTGCAGAGAAAAACATAACATTGGAATTCCCAGCAGTGGAAATTCAAATACCAATCACCCTTTGTACTCTCTAGCAAAATATGGATATTTGTAGTTTCATTTTTTGCTTCAGTTCTAATGCAATATTACATAAGTTTATATTGCATTAGAACTAAATATAAACTAATATTACAGACAAAAGTTAAATATTTATGAAAAGCGCTGTTTCTGATTTGCTGAATATCTGATATAATCAGTTCAGAAAATCCTTGACATATCTGGATGAACAGGTGAGGTAAGAATGAAAACCTTTTTCTATTTAATATTTAAAGAGGGCATAAATACTGCAGGAGAGTTCTTGGTCTTTTATGCTATGTAAATAAAAAGCTTCAAATTAATAGATAAACAATCTAATCTGTTGGATTTTACTATAAAATGTATTTGTGTCTCAAAAGCACACAACATACATATTTTCAAAGAGCAAAATTCTACTTACACTTGTTACAGAAAGTAAACATTCAGGATCAGTATAAGAATTTTTTTCTTCAAAACAAGCAGTTAAAAGACACCTATCACAAACCACTAAGTGAGGGCTTCTGGCTCACTTTGGAAGCATAGTGAGACGCTGTAGTATAGTGTGCAACTTCTATCTCTATTACTATAATGTATTTCATGAATAGCAGTTTCTCTAAACATATCCTTTCAAAGTTAAATATAACCTGTCAGAATAAGCTGATATATTAATGGCTCTTTAAATACAGTGTTACATTTCCGAGAATTTGAGAGACAAAATCATTTCAATAGATTAACAGTTTAGATTGTAATTTTAAATTTTCAGTTGGATTAATGCCTCTTACTATGTCACAAAGTACTCTGGCACGGCGTGAGACATAGTGTAGCATTAACCACGGGCAAATGCACACTGGACAAGTTTCTGAACACAGGATGGATGAAGGGGGTGAATGTTTATTTTTATTTCAAGTCTCTTCTAATTTCTCTCCCTACACACCTAATTAGTATGAATTAGAACAAAGTATATTTGGACTAGGATCAATCATACACAGAAAGAAATAATTCCTGCTTAGGTTTAGTGCCAGGCGAGCTACAAAATCTGGGTTGCAAAAATCCAAGTAATCATTAAATGGCAGGATTTTCTGTATCTCTTTTTCATCTGGGTTTTTACAGCTCAGATCTCAACCTATGGCTAACTAGCTCAACAAACCAAAGCTTTGTACACGGAAAACCAACTTTTCCGTTCAATACTCCATGCGTCCGGCCACAATCCAAGTCTCTCCAGTTTTCCACTCATTTCAAACGAATGAAGCGTACTTAACTCTCGACTTGGATTCCGTCCATCGACCTTAGTATCCCATCCCCAAAGACCTTTATGGGATTTAACTTCCAATTACATTGGTCTGAAACTCAGTCCTAACCTTTTACACCCCCGCAATGGGCGTGTGCGTGTGAATACACACACAAGGTTGAACTTGGCTGGATTAGGAAGAGGGGTAAGAGTAATGCACTTGCTAAGAAAACTCAGTAAGGATGGAGTTGTATTTTACGTTTCGCAATAAGTGTCGGGACTTTAAACTGCGGCATTTGCCAATAGCAATTGCTCGGTATGGACTCCAAAGGAGCCCATGGTGCCATCCAAGCACAGCTGAAGGATCTTCTCCCGGCCGGGCGTCGCGCACCGACGGGACCAGCCTCTGGGCGATATAGCTGACCGCCCCCACCCACCCACCCGTGTCGCCGGCATTACTCCACCGGCTGAAAGCCCCGGCGTCCGTCCCCCCACCCTTTAAGGGCCCATTCATATTTTGGTCACGTGGCCTCTTTCCCCAATGGGCTCTCCTCCCCAGAAGGACTAGCGGCCGGGAGCTGGAGTTTGGCCAGCGTTCAAGCCGAGGGAGGGAGTCGGCGCTGGCGGTGCCTCACTGTGGGGGCAAGAGGAGCGGTCCTCCCCGCTCGTCTTCTCGCCCCCTTTTCTTCCATAGCTCCCAAGCGCAGCCAAAGCGGCATTCCCAAGCTGCTTCTTCCCCCGCCGGCCCCTGCGGTTCGACTTACCGCCGTCCAGTTTGACGACCTGGGGCAAGCGGTAAGTGCTAACCAGAAGGTCCAAAGGGATGGACACGGAGCTCCATTTCACATCCTTCAGACCGAATCCCGGGGAGGGGGCCGCATCCATCTTCCCGCTCTTCTTTCGGTTCGGAAGAGTCGAGCGGCGGTAGCGAAGTCCTTGGGTCGGGGCGGGGGGGGGGGAAGCTGCACTCTTCCTTCAGCCTCTACTGTTGCCGCCGTCGCCTTCCCGGGCCATCCTGGACTTGGCGCAATGGCAAGGTGACTTGCCACCGACCGCTGCTGCTTCGCCAGCCGCGGCGTAGGTTGCAAAGGCGGCTGCTGTCGCTCCCGCTGACTCTTTCGCGGATAGCTCCAGTTGACCCAGTAAACGCCATCCCAGCACAGGGGACTGACTAATCAACAAGGTGCGAGGGACGCCTGCGCAGTTTGCGCTCCTCCTCTTCTCCACTCCCAGGGAAAGTGGAGCTCCGGCGCTCCCTCCTTCTCGGATCAACCAGGAAAGGGAGAGAGGGGGGTGGGTGGAGAAGGAGAGACGGACGACCGCCTGCCGCCAATTCTGGCCCTCTCGCTCCCTCTGCCGGCCGCTAAAAAAGCCTGCAGTCTGGCTGCCCGAGTTCAAGCTGGACTCGGCAAAATGATTATTATGATTTTTTGCTTAAAACTGTTCAGCTGCCAGCTTTGGTTTGAAGGAGGAAAGCAGCAGGGAAAAAAACCCTGGGATTTACCTTCAGAAGAAATAGCTTAATAGATCATAATTAGAAAGCCTGACCAATATTTTTCTGGCTGCTGTGTTTCTGTTCTGCTGCTGGCTCATTTGGGAGTTAAATCCCACTGGACTCCTTAAAGTTCACACAATGCACTAAACCATGGTTAATGTGGTTTTTCAAATTAAGCCAGTTGTGGCTGGGTTGCACAAAAGGTACTTGCTCAACCTGCTTGTGATCTTGACCTGATTTTGCTGTTATAGGGCAAACATCAAGAACAATCTTTGCTTATTCTTTCAGAAGGATCAAAAACATGTAAAGATGTGGAGAGGGAAACAAAGACAGCAATTAGAGAAGATGCTGGTACTGTGTATGTTATGTGAACTATTAGCAATGTGAAATGTATGAGCACAGCTGATACAAAACACACACAGCCTGACATGATACGCAGCCTTATGTCCCCTGGCTGCTTGCTGGGAAAGTTAATGGTGATCAGCACCAGGAAAACCCAGATTCAAATCTACCTTCAGCCATAGAAATTAGCTGTGTAACTTTGCATCAGTCATTTTTAGGTCTTCCTAGTTGATAGGACTGCTGGGGCAGAGGTGGTATTCAGTAAGTTCTGGCCAGTTCTGGAGAACCAGTAGTGGAAATTTTGAGTAGTTTGGAGATATCACCTCGGACTGGCCCTGATCCCATCTATTCTCTGCCTCCAAATGGGATTTTGCAGTAACCTTCCCCTGGAGTGGGGAGGGCATGAAGATTTTACAGTATCCTTACCCTGCCATGCCCACCAAGCCACGCCCACAGTAAAAAAAATTGAATCCCACCACTGTGCTGGGTGTGTGTGATGGGATGAGGAAATTGGAGTCCAGGAACACATATGTACATCACCTTGAGCTGCTGGAATATGTCACATATGTTGGTCTAAGACTATAATAAAGATTTAAGTCGTGTACTGTTCATTCTGTTTTTGAGCTCAGCCCCACTAGTATGTTCCTCTGCCAGAGAGTTGTGGCAACAGCAAGGACACGCTGCCTTGTTTCCAGCAAGTGCTTCTGCATTCCAGCCAGAGCTCAGCCCTGTTGCCACCCAGTCTTACCATCTATACCTGCTCCATTCCAGATTCTAAAAGGCAGACGTGACATTCCGCATCAGCATTGGGACAAGATGAAATGATGCAGAACAACAGCTGATATAAGAGAGGATTAAATCACTCTCCTTTCCCACAAAGGGAAGTCCCAATAAAAGCAGTTTGCATACTTTTAAAAAGTGGGAGAAAAGCAACTTTCACGTGGTGAAGTGGGTAGGTGAGCTAAGCTATAGACAAAGGTTAAAAACTAAAAAAGAAAGCCCTAGATATTTCTTATAACAAGTGCTCTGTATTCCACAACCTTGCAAAGTTTAAGGTAAGGCAATGATGTAATTGAAAACTATTCCAGTTTTGCAAATGTGATAGAATAAATGCAGTAAATGTTACCAGAGGAATGAAACAAAACAATGATTATTCAATATATACAAATAATTGTGTTAGAACAATATTCCTTTGAACTAAGCAACATTATAACTTTGTTAAAGACTAAGTAAATAAGTACCAAGTAGAGCTAGCAAGAAAATATTATAATCCTGGATAATCTCTTCAGAGTAGTATCCTTAAAAGACATGCAAATTAAAATGAAATTTCTCTTCAGAATACATATCCATTTTTAGTTAGAAAACGTATATGATTTTAATTCTGATTACTACATATGCTATGTTTCAGGTAATGTTCTGTTGCAAATAACAAGTACATTTCAATGTAGTAATGATAATTACAAGGGTCAAAAGCTAGGGTCACTATTTTTAGATTACAAAAATCTAGCTAATCACAGGATGGCAGAGACATTAGAAAGAACTAATACTTAACTGTTAAAATGGACATCTAGATTTTTACAACTAACATATGGTAGCCCTGTTTTTAAAATTATCACACAGACACACACCTTTTTGCGGTTTCTTAAACCAAATGCATTTTTAACCTCAGAATCGCATGGCAGTAGTGGAGGGCAACCATCTAATCTCAGAAAAAGACATGGCTACTTTCAAAAGTTGCAGACAGGTGTCACATTCATGTCACTGTACTTTTATTTTTAGTTCTAAAGCATACTAGAGTCCATATTATAGAACATTAAACTTTAATATTATAGAACATTTTCTTGTAATTGAAGATGGAATTGAATCTCTGCAGTTTAGACAATTCATATATGTAACGGGGGGGAGGGAACATTTTTGGTTAAAACTATTGCTTTGGAGGAATGTGTGTACTGCTTCAGGTAAACAACGAGATATGACCCTAGAATGTTAGCACTTGTAGCAATTGTGGCAGATAGCCATAACTTAAAATAGATGTACTTATTTTATGTATTGACAGTTTGGTGTTTTCTGCTTTGTTTTTTGCATTCAGTTCTAAGGCAGAATAGCAAACATTGTTGTTCCTTACTCAGTTCAAGACATGCTACACCCCAAAAGCTAGTCAATTCAGACCAAATATAAACCATGCCCAAGAGACCCTTTGCCAAGCTGGTATTTCAGCTGCAGCCTTAATTAGACCAGGATGCTCTCAATATGGTTATACATACCTTTCTCATCTTGTGTCTGGATTATTGCAATTAACTTGAGAGCTGAGGTGGTGCAGTGGTTAAATGCAGCACTGCAGGCTACTTCAGCTGACTGCAGTTCTGCAGTTTGGCTGTTCAAATCTCACCGGCTCAAGGTTGACTCATCCTTCCATCCTTCCGAGGTGGGTGAAATAAGGACCCAGACTGTGGGGGCGATATGCTGACTCTGTAAACCGCTTAGAGAGAGCTGAAAGCACTATGAAGCGGTATATAAGTCTAACTGCTATTGCTATTGCTATTGCTAACTTGGGGAAGGGGAGTTGCTCTGACGACCACTCTACAATTTCAGCTAATGTATAATGCAACAGCCTGTGTGCTTACTGTGCAATATGGTATTGTCTAATAACATCACAATTATGGAAGCTACTTAGTGCTTGTTTCCAAGTACAATTCAATATGCTGGCTGTTGTCAGTAAATCTATAGGACACAGGCCTTTTGGAGACTAGCTGTTCTAAGTAAATTCTGCCCAACTAACCCAGGTGACTAGGGAGTCCTTGCCTGAAGGTCCTTTTTATCAAAAGGTATGACTGGGGGAGGGGTGGTGTTGGTGGGTGATTTCCTTATTCTTACTCTGAGGCACAAAGAGTGCTCTCCTCCAAGGCCATCCAAAGAATAGTTACAATTTTAGTGATTAAGTAGGCCTGTGATGGCGAACCTATGGCACACGTGCCACAGGAGGCACTCGGAGCCATATCTGTCGGCATGCGAGTCGTCACCTCAAACGTGCATGCACGTGCCGGCCAGGTAATTTTTGGCCTTCCGGAGGAGGCTGTTTTCACTCTCCCCAGGCTCCAGGAAAGCCTCCGGAGCCTGGGGAGGGCGAAAAATGATCCATTTCTGGCTTCCGGAGTGGGACCAGGGGAAGCCGTTTTCGCCTTCTGCGTGCTTCAGGAAAGCCTTTGGAGCCTGGGGAGGGCTAAAAATGGACCCAATGGGCCAACCCAGGCTCCGGAGGCTTTCCTGGAGCCTGGGGAGGGCAAAAACAGCCTCCCCCACCATCCCGGAGGAAATACCAAGCTCAGCTTGGAGGTGAGCAGTGCAGCACACATGGGGAGTGGGGTGTGTGTGTGCATGCAATTGCATCTGAGGGACACACTTTGCATTATGGGTGCCAGCACGTACACGCTATTGCATGCACCCTCACATTTCTGGCATCCAACAACAAAAAGGTTATCCATCACTGAAGTAGGCCATCATTATTTGGTATTTCTTTAAGGTTTTACAGAGAATCCTCGACTTACAATTGTAAGTCATTGTGGTCATAAATCAATGTACTCATGTGACCCAAAGTAATTTTCCAGACTTTTTTGTGGTGGTCCATAAGTGAACACCACAATTGTTAAGTTAATCCATTCACTTGAATGGGCTTTTTTTGCTTGTAACCAACAAAAAGTGCCAGAAACTGGGAAAAAATATTTCAAATCATAGTCATGTAATTGTAGAACACCATGGCATGTTGTAAAGATGACCCCCCCCCAAAAAAAATGCAGTCAAGGGACTAGGATGGCAGCCTGTCCATTTATGACGGCCCAGGGTTGTTATCAGTCCATGAAAAATCCATTCTGTGGCTATCATAACTTCAAATAGTAAAATGACTTGATTGTTAAGTGAGAACTACTTGTAATTGCTTTTTTTACCCATTGTTCACTATATTGTTTCAATTGGATACTAAGCCAAGAGTCCCTGGAGTTACACAATTTATATATCTTAGTTAATTAATACATAGTAATTAATACATAGTACAATATTTTTTAAAAAATGATTTATATCCCATATTTTTATTATTTTTATAAATAACTCAAAGCAGGTTATATACCTAAAAATCCTTCTCCCTCCTATTTTCTCCACAATAGCAATAACTCTTTGTAGTTGGCTTAACTGATAGAGAGTGACTGGCATAAAATCACCCAGCCAACTTTCATGCCTTTCATGACTACCTGGACCCCTTCCAGTCCGGCTTCAGACCTGGTTACAGCACAGAAACC